TTTGAGCCTCCTGCACACTAGGGGAGCATATTGCTTAGCTGATCTCCCTGACCCTTCGTTTCTTTTTATTTAAACTTTCTAATTTCTGGGAGACCTCCCCTATAAAAAATTAATAGCACAGTTAGCAATGTGGCCAAGGTCAATGACTAATCAGAGGAGACAGAAGCTGAATTAGCAAAACACCCTGCATTGTTTCTATTGATCTATATGTTTCTAGGTAGGGACTTGAAAACCATACATAGGCATACATATATTGTATATCCCCGTAAGAGCTACGAGCATCTTGCAAGGTGCAACCTAAAACTTAATGAGACGTCAGGTCACGTTCTGCAGTTGTCTTCTATCGTCCTTGCTGGAGAGGATGCCATTTTCTTTACTTGATTTTGAGTCTAATTAAGATATATAAAACCTACTATAGAGAATAGCGATGGGTGTGAGGGAAGGATTCCAAGTTCCCCCTGTGCTGTGATCTCAGATCCTTTTCTTCCTACCCACTGGCCAGTCATTACTCAATAGCGTAATTTCATGTTAATTGGAAGACATTTTCCTTGGGGGTCCTGATACAAACAGTGTTCACAGTCTCCCCAAGATAAAAACACAAGCAAGAGGGGAAACATGCCAGTGGCAGACAGCAAAGCCTTCTCTCCATTTTGGAGAAGATGTTGTTATTAAACAACTGTGAGCATTGAATGAATAGATGAAGAACACTGGTGTAACCTGGGGCGTGTCGAGATAGTGACAAAGTCAGGAGACAGTGGAGCACCATTCATGTGGCGACCGTAGATTAAAGAGGCCCTTGTTCCCCACATAACACCTGTGGGAATAGAAACTGCTATGTGTGTGGGAGTCAGAAAAGCTGTAGGCGCTGGTGAACCTGCTTCTCCGCTCTGCTCTTCCCAGACAGGACTCTGCACAATGGCCTCAGTTCCTGTACTGCATGCAGCTCTGCCTTCTGTAAAGTCAGCTGGCACCGTACTCCCTTCCGGCGAGGACAACGATGCCCCCTTATTTTTATCTCACTCAGCTAAGCACCTGAGTATTTTATAATTTACTTTTTGTGCCATTAGTCCTCACAAGTCTATAGATTAAAGGAATGTGTGTGTGTGTGTGTGTGTGTGTGTGTGTGTGTGTATCAACGTAGCTGTAAATATTTGAAGCTGAAAATTCTATGCCAAGTTTCCACCAAATATAACTCGGAACTTGGAGTGTTTAAGACATGAGAGCTATGAAAATTGGGATTTATTAAAGCATAGAAAAAGCCTGTACTGCTAAGTAGCAAAGAGCTTTCAGAGAGTCACAGAATGCCAGGTGCGTGTGTATATTTTAGAGTTGTTTTTCATAAAATCTATTTTTTTACAACCTTTGGAAACCTTCTGGAAAATGAGAAGAGAGCATTATGATATTTATGATACAGCAGTGGGTTAAGTAATGTTCATATTCTGATTTTAACCAGTTAGCAAATCAACAAACAATTACTGAAACCTGTGTAAAAAAGGACAGGAACGTGGAAACATACCCTTACCCTTGCAAAGCTCATTGCAAGGCCTAGAGCCTGGGCCGTAGTTAATTGTACAGGATGGGATGACACGAACTCTAGGAAAGGTGTGCAGGCCAGTGGAGGAAGACCTGAGAAGCAGGGTTCTCTTTGGAAAGGGTTGCCAGGGACACTTGCAATATACATGAGGGATGGAAGATATTTTAGTTTCAAATGAGATTTAGGAAGCCATTTTTAAAGCCAGAGAGGTAAAAGGTTTTGTCTTTCAACCAGAGTTTAGTGAGACTATACTCTGTTTCTGCTTGTGTGATAGGTATGAAAAACAGTCATTGCATAACAAGATACAAAGGTCTGTGCACTCGGAGGATAACTTGGCAGACATGGTTTACAACAGTTGGTAGTTCACATTCTAGGGGAAGATGAACAATCTGTTCCACCATTAAATACTTTAGTGATTTCAGAAAAAGTCTCTTCCGTTTTTGTTTTTATTTTCTTCTTGATACAGGTCTTATATGTCCCAAGCTGACCTTGAACTCACCATAGAGCCAAGAATGCTTTTTAACATTCACTCCTGCCTCTGTCTCTGGTGGTCCAGGAGTCCATAGTCTGCCAACTGAGTCCTAATCACCAGTTCAACTTTGGGGATTTCTTCCGCTCTTCTAGCATATAGCACCCTTTTTGATAAATTGAATTTGACAAAAAAGCAGGTGCCTGGGTTCAAACCCAGGCAAGCAAAGGGAGACTTGAAGTATTCTCTATATTATTATTTCAGTCTGTCCAAAGTCAGAATTTCAAGCCACAGTATACGCTGGTTGTGTCAAGTAATTTCTCAAACCCACTAGGTGGGGAAGGATCTATGTTGTGTGCATTGTCTGGGGTTTCTGTCATTGTAAATGATAAATCAAAAGTCTAGAAACTGCATAGAGATTTGAACAACCCAAATTTAGGTGTGGCACACCAGATGTCTACTACTGAGTTGAGACTTTGTCCGTTGAATATTGAAGGGAGCATAAAGTGTCCTCTGCCACAAATAATGTGGAGGGTTTTCATCCCCAGACTCAAGAGTTCAGCTAAGGGGGCTGTGGACATAACTGCTGAGTGTTACTTCTTCCCACAAAGCCCTGGGGACAGTGTGGCACATGTCTGCAATCTCAGAACCTGGAAGAGGTAAATGAAGGATGGTTAGGCTCAGGTCATCTTTGGTTACAGAGTACTAGGACAGCCTGGACTGGACCATAGAAGACCTCATCACAAAACAAAACAAAACAAAACAAAACAAAACAAAACAAAACAAAACAAAACAAAACAAAACAAAACGTTCCTTTCTGACAAGGCAGCCCACAAAGGCCAATCAGAAATAGCGGGGACCAGAATTGCTCTGTCAGTTCTAGCCATGACTCTTTTCTGGATTCCTTCTATTGTGGCTGTCTCTCTGAGGTGGGACACTGCACAAGCTTACACGTGTAGGTGCTGTGTGACATCTCCGTTGCCATTCTTTGGCTTTTGTATTTTGGCTAGCTGCCACTGAAATGAATGGCTTTCAAATTGCCTGAGAAGTGAAATGGCACTTTTGTATAATTTTAGAACAAGGGAGCCGCTCTCAATCTTTTCTAAAGCGACTCAGACACTTGCCAGTCATTTGAACGGGTTTATAACTTTGTCACCTATGTACTCATTCAGGTTGCAGCAAAGCAAGAACTGCAAGGAACAGGAGGCTGCCTGCCACAATAGGCAAGCATTGAAACATTTGTTAATTTGAACTTCATTCTGTGTAACCTGTCCTTCGCCAGTCCCCAGTCAAACATTACACTCGCCTCTAGGTTGTCATGCTGGTCACAGACATCAAGGACTTTCACACAATTAATCTGAAATCATTTCTTACACCCCCCTGTGTATGTTTGTCCGAGAACCTGTCCATTAGGCAGGCTTTCTTTAATTCGACTTTGTATGTCCAAATTACCGTTTCTCATTGGACTCTGCAATTCGATTTTTATGTATGAGCCTTATCATAACACATGTAAAGGATTCCAGCACTGAGTGGTTTCTTTCCTCATCTGGTGGGGACTAACTCTGATTCTGTAGCTAGCACTATGTTTTCAAATGAGACTTTTTTGTTTATTATTATTGTGTTTAGTCTTTGTGAATTTTGAAAGTTACAAGAAATTAAAAAAAAACCCACACATTTAGTAAAATAGAAAAGAGGCTAAAAGAACCTCTCACAGAGATAAATTAAAAACATCTGGGCTGACAACTTGCATAAGTTCCAGACTTCTGTAGTTGTAAGGGTCAAGTGTTAAAAGTCTGGAAGTTAAGATGTGCAGTACAGAGGACAGAGGCCACCGAAGGCTCAAGGGCACATGGTCAAGTCATTTAGGGTGAAATTTTGACTAAGTTGTAAGTTGTCGTAATCTAGTAATACATATCTTCCAGATCTTATCTTTTTAAAAAAAAACTTCGTAACATTTTAGTTAGCTATGGAAAAACATACAAAAACATAATAGATATTGCATATTCAGAACCAACTCTTTGAGTTGTAACAAGAACGGAGATATATATTTTTTCCCTCCAGGATGAAGGATGTGTGATTTAAAAACAAATCCATGCTATTGCTATGTAATTAGCAAATAAATGGTTCTGTCGAATACTGCATCACACTCACGTGAAAAACTATCTAAGGAGAGCACAAGCCCACTCTTGGGAAAGGTCAGCCTGGATTAGGCAGCAGAGGACAGTTCATTGTGCTGAGATCTCACTACAGCAGCTGTTAGATGGTACATTTTACTTTATACTTCTAGGAGACCCGAGCCCCAGATTCTGCTATTGGGGACTGGCCTGGCCCATGGTTATGAGAGACATTTCTTCTTCCAGTCTCCCCTCTCAAATCATTTCAGTCTTGTGGCTCCATCCCATTGATTTCTTCCCTGATTATTATTGGATGGAAGCCTTAGGAATTCTTTCAATCTGCCACCAAATCATTTGGGGAACTTGCTACTGAAATCTTAGACTGTCTATTTTAATGTTGGTGGACAGGACAGAGCTCTTCTCAAATTCTCATTTGAATGGATCTCATTCCTCAGTATAAAGAGTGCTGTTTATACATGTCACGGCAGTAAGGCCTTATGCCGTTTCCAGGGCATTCTGGGAATCAGTAAAAGCTGTGCATCCTCTGAGAAAGGGGGAAGGGGCTATGTGTTAACGGAATCAGCGTTGTCAGTTTGTATGCTTAAAAATCCATTTTGAAAAACCACAACTTTCCAACACAGTCAAACCTCAAAACAGGAGGAATGGAAGAAAGGTGTGCAATAAACGGTATTCACTGAAGTGTTTCTCTGCAGGCACAAATGGAACCTGAAGGACATAACTTAAGCTTGATACAGACTGAGAGGAGAAAAAAGTAACACAGAGGAAAAAGTGAGGAATGAATGTCTAAATCACGTTTAAGGGAGTGGGTTGGTTATTTTTTTTTTTTTTAAATTTTATCCCTACCCTGGCTGCCTTCGTGGACATGGGGTTGGGGGCACATATTCCAAAGTGCTTGGCAGGAGATGAGATGGCCCACCTTTCTATAAGTATCAGAACTGGTATGGTAAGTATCAGTCTGATGCGGTAAATGGATGAGCCGTTCCTAGACTTTTGTATCTGTTTCCAGCATAGCATGGACACCGTGATGACTGAAGGTTGGGAGAGTTTACTGAATACAAGGAGCAAATGCTGCTGTGTCACACACACACACACACGCACACACACACACACGCTGCTAGCAAGAGAAGTCTTCCCTTGATATCTTTTGATTAGTTTGTGAAGAGATTGGTGGAAGGTACATACATGGTCAGGGTAGAGATGGGAGAAGCTTTTAAAGAGTTTGAAATCTAGAGCACTAACTACATTCCTGCACCCCTGCACCCCTGCACCCCTGCACCCCTGTACTCCTGCACCCCTGCACCCCTGCACCCTGCACCCCTGCACCCCTGCACTCCTGCACCCCTGCACCCCTGCACCCCTGCACCCCTGCACTCCTGCACCCCTGCACTCCTGTACCCCTGTACCCTGTACCCCTGCATCCTGGACCCTGCACCCCTGCACCCCTGCATCCTGCACCCTGCAACCCTGCACCCTGTACCCCTGCACTCCTGGACCCTGTACCCTGTATCCCTGCATCCTGCACCCCTGCACCCCTGCACCCCTGCACCCTGTACCCCTGCATCTTGCACCCCTGCACCCCTGCACTCCTGCACCCTGTACCCTGTATCCCTGCATCCTGCACCCTATACCCCTGCACCCCTGCACCCTGTACCCCTGCATCTTGCACCCCTGCACCCCTGCACCCTGTACCCTGTACCCCTGCATCCTGCACCCCTGCATCCCTGCACTCCTGCACCCTGTACCCCTGCATCCTGCACCCCTGCACCCCTGCACCCTGTACCCTGTACCCCTGCATCTTGCACCCCTGCACCCCTGCACTCCTGCACCCTGTACCCTGTATCCCTGCATCCTGCACCCTATACCCCTGCACCCCTGCACCCTGTACCCCTGCATCTTGCACCCCTGCATCCCTGCACCCCTGCACCCTGTACCCTGCACCCCTGCATCCTGCACCCCTGCACCCCTGCACTCCTGTACCATGTACCCTGTACCCCTGCACCCTGCACTCCTGCACTCCTGCATCCCTGCATCCCTGCACCCCTGCACCCCTGCACTCCTGCACCCTGCATCCATACACTCTTTCATCCCTTGCATTCTTGCCCTCACTTACTTTCAAGGCCTTGTTTTGCCTTCTCAGTTTACACTGTGTGCTAAGGTTTCCTGGTTCTTAGGTTAAGACCAAATGCAAACAAACAAGGAAGTTTATTCCACAAGACAACATGAACACAAAGATCATCGGTGGAACTGAACACCGCATAAACAAAGACATTCCCAGATAAGGACGGCCACCCATCCTTCAGCCCTTAACAGCACCTGGTGACAAGCAGACCCCTCTTCAGGGGCTGTGGAATGAAGCCTGTGGAGCAGCCTGGAGCCAAGATTCTGCTGCTAATAGCATTGCTTGCATTACTTGAAGCCTAACCCTAGCCCTTGTGAGGCGATTTTGCTTGGATGTGATGATTCTTTCCTGAACGATCGATAGTTATGAATATACAGTCATAAAACTCTTCAATGAAGAAAGAAAATATGGTTTAAAGTGTAATCAAAAATCAGCGTGACCGTCTGAAACTCTCATGTATCGCAGAGCATTCCACTGGTGCACTGAGAGGTCACAGAGTAATATACTGTCTCTTAAACAGCGAATGCGTAAAAGCTTTTGCAGCTCTGAACAAATTCATAAACCAATGATGCATGCAGATGCATAACTTTAATTATGACTTCTACTTAGATGGCTAGTCTATATAACGTAATTGTTTACTATTTCCCACAACTATACTGGAAATGCTTGCTAGGGACATCTCATATTTCATATGGTTCTCATTAAAAAAGAAACTGTGTGTGTGTGTGAGAGAGCATGTGTGCGTGAGCATGTGTGTGCATGTGTGTGCTTGTGTGTGTGTGTATGTGTGCATGTGTGTGAGAATGTGTATGCATGTGTGTGTGCATGTGTGTGCATGTGTGTGCATATGGGTGTATGTGTGTGTGAGCATGTGTGTGCATGTGTGTACATGTGTTTGTGAGCATGTGTGTGCATGTGTGTGCTTGTGTGTATGTGTGCATGTGTGTGAGAATGTGTGTGCATGCGTGTGCATATGTGTGTGAGCATGTGGGTGCATGCACATGTGTGTGCATGTGTGGTGTGCATGGAAGTCAGAGGCTAACTTGTGAGAGCTGATTCTCTCTTCCTATGATACAAGTTCTGGAGATCAAACTCAGACTGTCAGGCTTGGTGGCTAGTGCCCTTACCCGCTAAGCCACCTGGAAGTCTTTGTTCTCACTGTAGTCCTTGAGACCTGCCCTTCATTGTGATGCTTTCTTGTGATGTTGTTGCTATAGTCATTGTTATTTCACCCATGGGCTTTCTTTTCTTTTGTTTAGGGACATTTCTGAAATCTGGTTCTCAGACTCGAGAATCTTCATCTTATTTCAAACATCTTGTAACAAAAGTTTTAATACGATTGTCTTTGACAATGCTCTATCCACACCAACTCCCTCTCCTACATCCTAAAACACCAGCTGAACCTTTCAGGTCCAAGGAGTCGGACAGATGTAAAGTGGAGGGACAATTTTTCATCTTGAAGCATCAGGGGCTATGCATGTTGTGTGGTGCCTGGGAAGTTAAGTCCCATAAGTCACAAGGTTTGAGAACACTCTTTATAAACCAGGCTCCTAACACGGCTGTCCTGTTTCTTTATTACTTGAAGAATTATTTCGCATTGATCCTAAAATAGATAATGTGTGTGTGTATGTATGTATGTATGTATGTATGCATGCACACATGCACGTATGTATGTATGTATGTATGTATATAAGTGTGTGTATACATATATACACACACACACTTTATACCAGCTCCTTTCAATGAAGTGTTAAAAATAATCCTTTAAAAATAATAAACATGCTATGTCAAGATAAGCCAAAACTGAAAACATAATTAATTTTATGATTTTTGAGAAAAATTTACATAGAAGAAATATCATATTTAACGACCAAATAAATACAAAGATTATTTAGCAATTTGGCACAAATACAGGAGGAAAAATGGAAAACGTTAGTAGTATCTGATCTGACAGTGAATTAGAACGGAGATTTTAAAGGTAGCTGTTCATAAGAAACACTTGCTTCTGGTTTGGAGAATGTAAAGGCTATATTTGTCCATCTTTACTTTGAGTCATTCTAGTTTTTTTATTTGAACAGAATGTGGGGCTCTTCTGATTTAAAATGTTGGTTCAACTCGAGGTTCACAGGAGAAATCTGTTATCTAGTTAATGTGTAAATACTGCCAATTGCAGATACGTACTACATAGCAAGTGCAAAACATAGTTCGTAGGTGGATTGAAAGTTAGTTTTTAACAAACAGTCACCATGTTTAAATGTGAGAGATGGCTAGCACCCCACTGTGAGTCAGAGGAAGCCTCCTGTGGAGCTGTTGTTTGTTTCTCCCCCATCAGCCTCCACAGCTGTCACAATGGGAGCATTATTAACTATGATTATCACAATAATCATAGCTCATGCGACATTGTCCCCACCAATTTCCAATTATTTATTTCATTTTCCTCTGTAATATGTTGTCAAGTCACACCAAACCCTTACAGGAGATTTTTTTAGTAGTGATAGACAATTGTCTGATGTTATACTCATGGAAATACTCACATGAGTGGTTTTTCTTGAGTTATTTTGGACTGAAAGTGTCTGTCTTCTTAAAATGTACATATCAATGTTCTCTTCCCTCCTCAGTGTGATGCTGTGAGGTGGAGCCCACAGTTTAGATGAGGCTGTGACAACACACCCCCTGTGATGGACAGAGTGACTTTCTATTTGAGACCCGTGATCTCTCCTATGAAGTAAAATGAGAAAGCTCTTATAAGTCCTGGGGTCATCACCAAGATAATCCAGTGTCCCTACACCTCAGTCTTGGGTTTCCAACTTCTATTACTGTAAATAGCTTTTATTTAAACTACCTAGTCCTTAGTGTTTTTACTGTAATATCCTAATAGAAACATAAGGAAATTACAGTTCTGAATTTTGCTAATTTCCCACAAGCCTTTCTACTTTCTTCTTCCACACGCATTAGTAACTACAACTCACAGCTTATGGTTGCAAAGATATTATTATAACATTTATAAGCATAAATTTACTAACTAAAAATTCTATTTGAGGGAGGCACACAACTTTATTCCTAGCTCTTAAGATGCTGAAGCAGGTGAATTTCTGAGTTCCAGTCCACGCTTGCCCATGTAAAAAGTTCTTGGCCAGCCAGGGCTACCTAGTGAGATTTTGTCTTAAAAAAACAGTATCTGAGGAAAATAGTAGCTTGTGTAATTTTTGTTTTCTTTGGATACTTAGTAACATTTCTAAATGAATACAGGGATCAATTTGTAAAACAAAGGTGTAATATAAAGCCAACCTTTGCAGAGAAAGAATTGAGCTGAAGGTAGATTTCATAACTTGCTGTCTGTCTGACATGGGGCACTCAGCTACACTTGTGAGTCTTGATGTTTTCATCTATAAGGAAGAGAATAGTCTCATGGCCCTCATAGGTGGTTACAAAGGAGTACTAAGATGTGAAATGTACGGCTTCACTAAGAAAAATGAAGATTCTCAACACAAAGGAGATGTTGCTGAGGATGCAGAGTTTTTAATATTGACGAAACATTTCACCTAAACAAATTCAAATTACTTACATCTGTATACACATTACCACATGGAATCTTCTTTCAACTGCTATTTGTGGTCAAATGGTAGACTGGCCATTGAATCATAAGAAAAGCATAGCTTGGTATCATTTAGTGGCATGATGAATTCAAATAATTCACCTCTAGAATCATGAAAAATGAGTGGAAAAATTATTAAGAGTTCATGTGATAAAAATTGGAGTACAGATTAAATTTGATTCAATTCCAATTGCAGTGACAACTCAACAAGTTTTTTATTATTTGCTTTAAATTCCTTATTTTTCCCCCTTTTTAGTTCTTAGACTAAGTCTCACACAGTAGGCTAGCTTTATGACTTTCTTCTGTCTTTATTCCCAGGTGCTAGGATTACTGGTCTGTGACACCATGCTCAGCCATTAGCTTCAATTTTTTGGACTCTTAATACACAGACCTAAAGCATAGTCCACAGTTCCACGTAGGCCCTTGAATGGGTAGACATTTAGGCGATATGCTTAATAGAGTAACTTGAGTATTTATCATCATTATTAAGTGAAGGGAAATTTTACATAACAAGTTTATTGTCACTAGAATAGATTTTTATTAGTGTGTGTGTGTTTGTGTGTGCCTGCACACATGCATGCATGTGCCCTTTGTGTACATGAATCCCCTGCCTTGGGGATCATCTGTCTCTGCCCCCTGAGCTCTAGAATTACAGACAGTCACTGTATTTGCCCAGCTTTTACAGAAGTGATTTCAGGGAGGGCTGTGGTCCTCACACTTATATGGCAAGTACCTTATCCATGGAGCCACGTTCCCGGGCTTGATGCCTTTGGTACATGTTCTAAGAAAACAGTAATGAATGGGTACTGTGAATGACAGGAAAGATAATTATTTCTTGATTATTCATCCCTGAAAGAATATGGAACCATGTTTAAATGTTTAATTTAAGTTGGTTCAAATTGAACGGACTGGCTTAAAAACGGGGCTGAGTTCCATGCCTGGAGAAGATCAAACAATTAAATCTTCACTTCAAGAGAAAACGCAATACTGATCGTTAGAGAGTTTAAAAAAAAATGGAAAGGCTAAAAAACTATTTTAGTTTAAGAAATAAATATAGCAACCATGATGGTTTCAATGAGAAAGGCTTCTGGATTTATTTAAAGAGGTGTCATCTCTTTGGCCTCTTCACGTAGGACCGATGGAACACAAATGATTTATCACCTGGGCTCTTCTCCAGGGAGAAGGTTGTGATTTGTTTCTTTCACTCGCCTGTTTTATACTTTGACTTTATTGCCTGGCACTTAAAACACTTGAGAGTTTCTCGCTTCGGCCCCCAGTTTGCTCAACAGAGCATCTCTGCTCGGATGCAGCATAGTCTCTTCAAGTTGGAAGAAACAGTTTTTTTTTTCTAGTTCTTAAGAATTGTAACGGACATGATACTCGTGTTACCTTATGTTACTTTACCCGTAGATAAGTTCTAGATTCCCATTAAAAGTTATG